AGTGGTATTATTGCTGGGCAGTTAATCCGGAGACCTGGGTTCGAATCCTGCCATGGCAGATGGTGGAATTTGGATTCAATATTGAATTCAATAAGTATCTGGAATTAAGAATCTAATGATGACTATGAATCCATTGTCGATTGTTGGGAAAAACCCATCTGGTTCACTAATGTCCTTTAGGGAAGGAAACTGCCATCGTTACCTGGTCTGGCCTACATGTGACTCCAGAACCACAGCAATGTCATTGACTCTTAACTGCCCTCTGGGCAATTAGGGATAGGCAATAAATGCTGCCTAGCCAGCGACGCCCTCATCCCGTGAATGAATAAAGAAAACGAAAGATATGTATCGCCACTGTAAAACAGTCTTTAGACAAATTCTCACACTCAAACAAAATGAAGCTTCTGACTTTTATCATCAGAAATGAGTTCTAGCCTATAGAGTGGTGGGGAATAAGTGGCTATGAATGATTACAGCTAAGAATAGGTAATTTGATCTGCTGTGTCCAATCCAGTTCTGAGTAAATTACCAAGACCTAATGTGAATGCTGTCAGTCATGCTAGCTAACTACATTAGAAACTTTACTTTGGTCATTGTTTAAATTGTAAATAACTTGATGATGTCAGTGTATCATACAAAAATCAACGGTATCAGACCGTCCTGTGTAAATGCATAATAAATGCAAACACTTATTTCAAAGGTTAATGATAAGGTCTCACCATCAACTTCACAGAAGTTGTCTGTAGAGTCATCATGTCTGGTCCAGTCCAATACTGCTTGTTTTGTTTCTTCACTAAAATGATTAAAATTTTTAAAAACTGATTAAGTAGTAATCACTCAATGAAGATAACGGCCCCCATTATAAGTAAATTGTGAGTTTTGTGCAAGCATGTATTGAAACAGATGGCAACTCATCTGCTCTTCTGTAGCATGTGGCCCAAGAGATTTTAACACACAGGCCTCATCACATGCCTCCTGAGTCCTGTCTGAGATTTCGGCTGGTGGGTAGCAGCGGGATTTTGGATATCGGGGACTGCTGCATGGGACCCAAAACAAGGTGCCCTGACACTCAGATAATAGAGAAGGATGTCAGGAGGGAATGGTGGTCAGAAACGGCGGAGAAAAGCATGGAGCAGGAATGTTCCAACATTTCGGAGAGGCGACGGCCTAGTGGTATTAACATGAGGCTACGAATCCAGAAACTCAGCTAATATTCTAGGGACCCTGGTTTGAATCCCACCACAGCAGATGGTGGAATTTGAATTCAATTTTTAAAAAAAATCTGGAATTAAGAACCTACTGATGACCATAAAACCTTTTGATTGTCGGGAAACCCCATCTGGTTCGCTTAATGTCCTTCAGGGAAGGAAATCCACCATCCTCACCTGGTTTGGCCTACATGTGACTCCAGACCCACAGCAATGTGGTTGACTATCAATTACCCTCTGAAATGGCCTAGCAAGCCACCCAGTTTTACCAGTCGCTACAAAGTCTCAAAGAAATGAAACTTACGGATTACCTGGCATCGACCTAGGCACTGGAGAAACAGCCCTGTTGACCCTGCAAAGTCCTCCTCATTAACATCTGGGGGTTAGTGTCAAAATTGAGAGAGTGTCTCACAGACTAGTCAAACAATAGCCTGACATTGTCTGTGAGTGTGACTATGTCCCAGACACCACCATTCCTGGATATATCCTGTCCCACAGCAAAACTGATCCAGCAGAGGTGGTGACATAGTGGTAAACAGTTGGAAGGAGTTGCCCTGGAAGTCCTCAAAATCAACTCCGGATCTGATGAAGTCTCATGGCTTCGGGTTAAACATGGGCAAGGAAACCTCCTGCTGATTACCACATACCGTCCTCCCTCAGCTGATGAATCAGTACTCCTCCATATTGAACAACATTTGGAGGAAGCACCGTGGATGCCAAGGACACAAAATGTACTTTGGGTGGGGGGATTTTGATGTCCATCACTAAGAGTGGTTTGGCAGCAGCACTACTGATCGAGCTGGTTGGGTCCTAAAGGACATAGCCGCTAGACTGGGTCTGCGGCAGGTGGTGAGGGAACCAACAAAAGGGAAAAAACATAGTTGACCTCATCATTATCAATCTGCCAGTTGCCGATGCATCTGTCCATGGCAGTAACAGTAAAAGTGACTCTTGCACAGTCATCATCGAGCCAAAGTCCTGCCTTCAAATTGAGAATAACCTCCATCGTGTTGTGTGGCACTATCACTGTGCTAAATGGGACTTCAAACAGATCTAGCAATTCAGGAATGGGCATCCATGAGGCACTGTGGGCCATCAACAGCAGGAGAATTGTACTCCAGCACAATCTGTAACCTCATGGCCCGGCATATCCGCCACTCAACCATTACCATCAAGCCAGGGGATTAACCCTGGTTCCATGGAGAGTGCAGGAGAGCATGCCAGGAGCAGCACCAGGCATACCTGAAATTAAGATGTCAACCTGGTGAAGTCAAACAGGACTACATGTGTGCCAAACAGCATAGCAACAAGTGATGAACAGAATTAAGCGATCCCACAAACAACGGATCAGATCTAAGCTCTGCAGTCCTGCCACATCCAGTTGTGAATGGTGGTGGACAATTAAACAACTCACTGGAGGAGGAGTCTCCACAAATATCCCCAACCTCAATGATGGAAAAGCCCAGCACATCAGTGCAAAAGATAAGGCTGAAGCATTCGCGGCACTTCTGGCTGAAGATTGCTCAGTGGATGCTCCATCTCGGCCTCCTCCAGTGGTCCCCAGCATTACAGATACCAGTCTTACAGATACCAGCCAATTTAATTCACTCCATGTGATATCAAGAAAAACGGTTGGAAGCACTGGATACTCCAAAGCCTACGAGCTTTGACAACATTCCAGCAATAGTACTGAAGACTTGTGCTTCAGAACTTGCCGCTCCCTGCTCAGCAATAACCTGCTCAGTGACGCCCAGTTTGGGTTCCACCAGGACCACTCGGCTCCTGACCCCATTACAGCTTTGGTTCAAACATGGACAAAAGAGCTGAATTCCAGAGGTGAGGTGAGAGTGATAGCTCTTGACATCAAGGCTACATTCGACAGACTGTGACATCAAGGAACCCTTGTAAAACTGGAATCAATGGATATCAGGGGGCACACTCTCCAGCAGTTGGAGTCATACCTGGCACAAAGGAATATGGTTGTGGAAGAAACCAAAGGAGTAATATTTTATTTCTGGCTCCAACTACTCTAGCCACCCTACATGAAAATAGGGTTTCATGTAGAAGCCCTATCCCAATCAGAGTCTTATCTCCATATTATGGACACGTTTGTTTCCAAGTGCTTAAAACAGCAAGTCATAACTGCAGCCCCCAGGTTGGCAACCAAGCTGATGGGGTTAAGTTGATGCGGCCATTTTAACTGTATGTTCATCCAGTTTTCTTCCTGATGGTCAGGATTATAAACATCCCTAACATCACAAAAGCAATATTTAGGTCAGGCTGCAAAAAATGTTTTCCATGGAACAGAGAGACAGTGGAATTTAAGGGTGTTTGGTCCTATGTGTCTTTCAAATTACCTCAAAGAATTGTTGACAGCACCAAGCTTCTCAGCCTTTTCACAGTCACGGTCATGTTGGGAAATCACATTTGCTTCCATTGTATACTAGAAGTTCATAGAATTAAACCAGTCAGTTTTTTTAGGTACAAGCACTGTAGCATCAGTAACTGCATTACTAAAGGCACCCATGATAATTTTCCCAAATTCATCTCATCTACTAGATATTGAGAGGAATTTCTTTTGTTTTAAAAGAGTGGCAGACAGTTCCAGTAATCTTACTGCTCGGAGACGGAAGCATGTGAGAGAGTATGAGAATGGAGATGTGGTTTCTAACTTGGGTCTTATGTCTGGGAGAGTTCAGAATATGCCAGTGATATGAAGGTATCGGGAAGACTGTAGGAGCATGGGAGGAGAGCAGCAGGAGGTACTGCTGGGTACAACAGAGACTGTGAGCTCAGAAAGCAAGAGCAGTGATCTTCATACATTGGGTCAAATAGGAGTGGAATGAATGGAAAGGACCAATAATAGTGAGAGGATGAAGCACACATGTGAGTGATCATGATTGCATGTGAGCTGTTATTAACTACATATAAGTGTGTACTTAAAATCTAATTGTAAGTCTATCAGTGTATCAGACAGTCCATCTATATCACACATCTGCTTCTTTAAAATAGTCACCAATGTATGCAGTTCTGAATAAAAATGCTCGTTGTCAAGGATTTAGTCAAAACGCCGCACTGCATAATCAATGGAGAAGAATGTGACAGAACAGAAATTCAAGCTTTTACCTTGTGATTTGAGGTCCCATTGGGATCCTTGGATAACACTACTGTCCTGTTGATTATTCCTAACAATTAGTATAACTATTTCATGTCTAAAATGTTCTTAGATAGTCTGGTAGTTTTAGACTTTTACAAAAACAAATACATTTACTCTGAATTCTTCATAATTGATTGTCTTAACCAATGTTTAAAACATTTTTAGGATAAAAATATGAAACCAAGAGTTTTAAATCAGACAGTAATTCATGTATACATTTTAAATTCAAGCAAGTACACCATGAAATTAAATTTGCAAATATCATACCTTTGAACTTTCCGATCTAATTCCTGCTGGTATTTCATTCTGCAGAATAAATGATACTTCATTGAAGGGCAAATGTTCTTTCCTGTCTACCCTATTTATACCTCTCATAATTCATTACATCTCAACCATATTCCACCCCAACCCCCTTCACCCGCTCCCACCCCCCATTCCTTAGTCTCCTCTGCTCCAAGGAAAATAACCCAACTTTGTCCAATCTCTCTTCATAACCAATATTGTCCAGCCTAGGCAAGATCCTGGTAAATCTCCTCTGCACCTAGCGCTTTCATATCCATCCCACAATGTGGATTCCAGAACTGCACATAATACCACAGCTGTGGCCGAACCAACATTCTATACAGTTCCAGCATAACCTGTCTGCTTTTAACCTCAATGCCTCGACTAATAAAGTCAAGTATACTAGAAGGCTTTTTAACAACTTTATCCGCCTATCCTGATACCTCATGGATTGGTGAGCATTCATACTGAGGTCCCTCTGATCGTTAGTGTTTCCCTGGGTCCTCATGTATCCCCTTGCCTTGTTTGTTATGCCCAAGTGCATCACCTCACTCACATTTATCTGAATGGAACTCTATTTGCCACTGATCAGCCCATCTATATTGTTATGAACCAGACCAGACCCCTTCAAAATATTTTAAGGTAGTCTAGACCCTAACATTTTCTTATTTTTAAAGGTAAATGTGAAGTGCCTGTTCCAGATGCAATGCAACTGGTCAAACTATTCAACGTTAAGCAAAACACAATTTATTTAAACACTGTAATTAAAATACAACCAAAGGAAGAAGAATTCAGATAACAAACTCTATTGAAAACTTAACAGAATAACAGATATAGTAACTATTACTAATTAACTGTTCCAATATAGTAACCTGCCATAAACACACCCCTTGGCAAAAAAGGAAAATTCAGACACAGATTCTCACATGCAGTTCTCCAATCCGGGAAAAAAAACATCGAGAAAATTCAGAGAGTAGCAGTCAGGCGACATTCACTTAAGCTTCGAACTCTGTTGAGACCCCAATAGCTTCTGATGCTACTGAAAAACCAAAAGCCAGATATCCTAAATCGGAGAGAGCTGGCCACGCCCAATCAGGCTGTTTAAAAAAACCCCAAGGCCTCTAAAGCTGTTTACTCAAATGGTTTTAACTGGCTAGTTTACCACTTGTCGTTCAATCTCTCTTAAAAGAAATCAGGACAAAATAACTTCTGAAAACTACAGCATTGTCACAATATCCTCTGGTAATCTAAGGATAGCAATGTTTGTATCATCCACAAAACTTATTGATCAACCCTCTTACACTCAAATCTCAATCATTTATTTAAAACACAAACAGCAAGAGCCCCAGCACTGACTCCTGTGGGACTTCACTGGGCACAGACATCCAGTTGGAAAAACATCTCTCAACCATCATCCTCTGCTTCCTGCCACTCAGCCAATTATGGATCCAATTGGCCAAATTTCCCTGGATTCCATGCACTCTTTCTGTTCTATCAAGTCTCTTATGGGGGATCTTATCAAAAGCCTTGCTAAAGTCCAAGTCAACCATATCAAAAGCATTGCCTTCATCTACGCACCTGGTCACCTCTTCAAAAAATTCAATCAAGTTGGTCAAACATGACCTACCCTTAATAAAACAATGCTCACTGTTCTTGATTATACTTTGCCTCTCCAATGCAGATTAATTATGTCCCTCAGAAATGCTTCCAATATTTTCTCCACCACTGAGGTTAGACTGACTGGCCTATTGTTTCCTGATTTACCCCTTGCTCCTTTCTTAACAATGGTACCACATCGGCTGTCCTCCAGTCCTCTGGCACCTGTCCTGTGGCCAGAGAGGAATTGTAATTTTTTGCAAGGGTACTTGCAATTTCTTCCCTTGCCTCACCCAACAGCCTGAGATACATTTCAGGACTCTTTTTCCCTAAAAGTAAAATCTTTAGTGAATAAATAATTACATGGTATTGCTAATCCCAGTCCTTATTCCTTTTAAACATTTACCTCTATCCACATTCCCTTCTCCCTGTGTTTGCTATGTGGTTTATAAAAGAAATGATGATCTTACGGGCTTACAAGGTTGAACAGCACAATCTCTCAGACCGCAGTGGCTATTATCTGACCAGAAGGGACAAGGCTTCTTTAAATTCACCTGGAAAGATTGCAGAAAACAGTTTAAACAAATCTGAGAATCATATTAAATAATCAACACAGATGAATGCTGAAGAAGCTATAACAGCATACCTTGTAATATCTGAAGTAGTCACTTTCAAGGAGTTCTTGTATTTTGGGAAATAGCTTCTTGTTATTAAAGTCTTGAATAGTTTCAATATCACAAGTACAATCATCAAGGTATCCGGTTACCTACAGTTAAAGAGTTTAAATTGTCATCCTTACAATCTCCTGTAAACTGACTAAATCTTAGATCTTTTACAAATGTACAGAGAATAGACCACTTTTATCACTTTGCTTTCTGAAGCAAAATTGTTCAAAACTAGCACTATACCATGAACTGTCTCTTGTGCAATGCAATTGTTCTGAAGTTGAATCACAATACTATCCATAGATCTTGCTGGACAGCAGAAGAGACTCCCTACAGCCCAACAGGATGAAAAATACATTACTGGAGAATTGAGCTAATAGTTCAGACAGCACCTTGTGAAGGCAAAATGACATTTCCATCAATCATTAAGAGTTGCAGTGTTGCCATATAAAATAGAGAAACATGGGAACAGTGCCATTTAGTGCCTAAAGGTTGTTTCACTATTCAATAAGATCACACTCATCTGTGATCCAATTCTTTTGCTCCACATTCCTCAATACCCTTTGTTTTAAAAAAAACTATCAATCTCAAATTTAAAATTAACAACTGATCTAGCAGCAACTGCACTTGCAGGAGAGAGTTCCAATTTTTTCAAAGACATTTTGGACGCAAAACCATTTCCTAATTTCATTCCTGAAACAAAAATTGTAAGTTGTGTTCCTCAGTTCCTAGCTCCAGCAGAAAGAGTTACTCTTTTTCCATATTATTGATTCTCTTTAATATTTTGAAAACTTGGACAACTAACTTTCAACATTCAAAACTCGAATGCATATAATCCCAGAGCTTGTATCAAAAGAAACAAAAACAAAGTTGCTGGAAAAGCTCAGCAGGTCTGGCAGCACCT